TACTAATCATATCTCCACATAAGCAACTGAATAAAATGAGTTTGATAAAAAAAATTAATTTTCTTTTTTTACATTTATTTAGTTATTGAGAAGGTAAAATGTTGCCAGTGATAGGTGTTAGCCTAGAGAAAAAAAGAACGATATGGGATATCGTACCAAGATGCTAGGCTACATTGACTCTATTGTTCTAAGAACACTTCTTACCAACGATGGTCTCCCTTTTCTCACAGGATGATATCTGTTTCTTTCTTATTCTACACATGTGAAATAAGTGAAGCAAACTCATTTACCAACGATATATTGGACAAAAATCAAGTGAAGCTAAGGTTTGTAGGTGGGATAGCCAAAAAATATGACTTTTTTAAGGGACATAATAGAAGATCCCCCTTTTAACTTATGAACGATAAGACAAAATAGAAGACCCCGGGTCTTCTAATGTGTCGATGGCTTTACTTTATGTCAAGCCAGTACATTCATTAAACATAGATTTAATAGGTCAATATGGGCTGTCTTTCAAAACAAAAATTGACTCTCAACAAAACTTCTATACTAAAAAAACGAAATCAAGGCAAAACTTTTGTTCTATTCATAATGCCCAAGTTATTGAAATATTTTGTTCGTCAATTTGTGTTGGAATATTAAATAAATCAGCAAACATCATTATGAGGAATGAACATGCAACCGCTTTCAAAATTATTCTACCAGATCTGTTTTCAATTATTTTCCGCTGTCGTAAACGCTAATAAGAATTCTCAAATAGTGATTTGAATAGAAAATTTTATTCCCAACAAGAATTATATCGCAGTTGAAAATGATTGTCAATTTCCCTAGGATAAAAGCGTTGAAAAATCAAAAGCCAAGTTTTTCGTCTTTTTGAATTCGCAAATCGACTTCCGGTTGAGTTACCCAAAATAATAAAGTAAATTATTCTCTTCCGAATGAAATGCTCTTCAGCTCTCTACAATATTTTTTTGATTGACATACATTAACTTTACGGAAGGCATAAAACGGTGTTTTCGTACGAAGTAAAAGAAAAAATGACTTTTATATTTTCCATAAGATTGATATATCTCGGTCAAAAAGCATCCTAAAGAGCTTCAAGATGTTCCATTTGAAAGGGAATTATTTACTTTATCATGATGAGTAAATCAAACAGAATTCTATTCATAAATTCTAGAAGCTGAAATATTTGGTTTGTGATTTTTCAAAGTTTCTATCCTTGTGAAATTAGCAATCAAGTTATTGTTTGAATTCTTATCAACGTTTATGACAGCAGAAAATAATTAAAAATAAACATAATCGAATAATTTTGAGAATTTCATCGAATATCATTATTTAGATTCGGCAACAAACTTTTTCTCGTATCGTCATCATCAATAGTTGTCGCTGTCGGACGATATATCTAATTATATCAGCATAACATTTTATATGTTAAAAAAATATTTAAAAACGAATTATAATATTTAAACGGCATAAATGTTAATATATTTTCAGTATAGATATTAATATATTGTGATTAAATAAAATAGATTAATTCATGACTCATCAATGTCAAAATCTCGTGGAAAAAATTTGAGATCCATTTGCAACACAAAGAACGCTATTCAAGTCAAAATATTATCTTTAGTGTAAAAACCTTTGTTAGTTGATTACAATTGCAGATAAACCACCGACTTCTTTTTCTTTTCTTCATATGATTCAAATGTAATCTATGAAATAAAAAATAATGTAACTTTCTTTGTTTATCATATTTTAGACTGTAAATATTATTGATGAATACAAGTATTGATTCGTCATTATCATCATCATCATCATCAACAACTACAACTACTTCGTCTAGTACCACACCAGCATCATCATTTGTTAATTTATTTTTAAATGAAATCAATAATCAAGATAGTCATGGTTTACTTAATGTTCAACATTCATTGTAAATTATAATTTGTTTTTTCTTGTGTTTTTTATTAATTATTTAAATTTTAGACTTGAACAATTAGATAAAACAAATGAAAAATTAGATGGAATTAATAAGCTTTCAGCAAAACGTTATTTAGATGCAACACGAGATTTTTCAAGTCATACACAAATGTTAACAACAATGAAAAGTGATCTTGATTTAATATTTAAAAGAATAAAGTAATAAAAAAAAAGAATAAATGAGAAAAGAAAATTTTCGAATTTTATTTGTTAAATCAAATGTTTTAGATTATTAAAAATACGATTAAATAAAAAATATCCTGCAGCTTATACATCAGGTAATAGAAAAGATTTTATATGATGAAAATTAATGAAAAAACACACATACACACACACACATGTTTCATTATTTTAGTTATTCGTATGACTGCAACACAAAATGATGGTCTTGATGACGAAGAAGATGATGACATAAATGATTTAACAACATCGACGAAAGTAAATCAATTTGCTGCTTTCTTTTTTGTTTTGCATGAAAAATAAAAACATCTGTTGCTCTTTGTGTTGATTTATATTTTTTCATTTCACTAGAAACCTTTTGCTAATCCATCGCTTGTCAAATCGAAAACAATTGATTGCTCACAATTTTCAGCATCAATGCATGAAAGTTACAGTTTGGCTGAGCTTGCAACTAATAATAATAATAATAATAATAATAATAATAATAATAATAATAATAGTGAACAAACAGCAAATTCATTTGGTGCTGTACGTCGTTTTGTGCTTGATAAATCATCAGGTGGACAAAATTTTTCAACATTACTTAAAAATGCTCGTGATGAATTTAAAAAAATGAATGATGGTTTTCTTGGTGGGCAAAATCAAAAACCATCAAGAGATGATGAACAATGATCTTTATGCTTTTATATTTGATTTTTTTTTTAATTGTCAGATTTATATAAATAATACCTTCCTCTTGTATATTTTAGATTGTATCTAATTAAATTAATTCCTTTTTTCTTTGTTTATATTAATTGATTCTTTTGGTAAGTATAACTTATTTAAATGTCTAAATTGCAAAATTAAATTTTCATTAAAAAAATGAAAGTTTTTGGTCATAACATAAATCTATGTTAGTGACTTTTGTTAGAATTTAGTTTTTACATTAAGATCTATAATAGATCTTAGCAGGATCAGTCGTTCTTGATCCCGATCCCGAAACTAAGACCGTCTTGTCCATATCCAGATTTATTATATCTCTGACGAAAAATTGTTCGTACAAGAATTTGGAATTATAAAACTTGAGATTGATTCATCTTTTGATGTTCGTCTACAATAGAAAGTTATCTATAAGGTGAAGACTATTCATTCGTATAGTCTCTATGATATAGATATTTCCGATCCAGTCGATTAAAATTTGTCTAGTCATATAATTCAAGTGAATAGAATCTTTGAGATCCTGAGTTTTTGGGATCCGATACAAGTTTCTATCTCATCAGGTTCGAATTTGCCATGGATATGATAGTTCTATTAGTAGAAGGAAGCTAATTAGATGAATGCTAGTTTAAACTCAAAAGTTGACAAGCAATTAGTTTAGTCTAACGAAATGTGATTGATCACTTATAAGCTTACTACATTATACTGAAACTCTAGTATACATCTAAAGTGATATTATATGACAGAACAAATCGAACAGATCACATGTAAAATTTTGATTGGATTTCTATTCAACATACTTTTTGTTTTCTTTGTTGTGTCATAAGGTTTTTTCCCTTTCTGAATATATCCATTATGATTCATAGGTCTATATATAACTGCTAACCTCTTACAGGTAACATATCGATTTTATATTTTGATTCAAGTTAATCACCCTCATTTTCGGTAAGATTTTCAAAGAGAATATCGATAATTGTTGAAATTCATTCGAAAAGTAAAAATATCTTAGTTTTTTGAAAAAAACCTGCGAAGATAAAAAAATATTTTCTCTCAAATCCATCAGACATCTATATTTATAGTTATTCCTCTTATCTGTGAATAATTCTTTGGTTTCTATTTTTTTTAGTAAATAAAAAATTCTCCATGGCTACCGCTTCCAATATTGATGATCTTCTTCAATGTCCAATTTGTTTGGAAATCTTTCATGATCCTAAAGTTCTTGATTGTCAACATACATTTTGTGCCAATTGTTTAAAAGTACATCTAGCATCACCATCATCAAGCATATTACGTACATCAAATGTAATTGATTGTAAATATTTTTATTTTTATTTTTTTGAATTCTCATATTATTATCTATTAAAATAGGTCCAATATGTCGTCGAAGATCAAATTTAATTAATAATTCAATTGATAGTTTACCAGGAAATTATATTGTATGTGATATAATTGAACGTACATATGGTACGACAACACCTGAACGTCCACCTGGTTATAATCAACAAATTCAAGATCGTATAGAAAAATTGCAAAAAGAAGAACAAGAAAAAAAGGATGATGATGATGATGATGATGATGATATTAAATATTCGAATTATGTAAAACCAGCAGCTGCTGCTCTTGCTGGTGTAGTTGGTGGTTTACTTTTAGCTAGAAGTATTAAAAAATCACGTAACAATAAAAAAAAACGAAATCGACATTGAAGAAAAATGATTATACATTGATTTGCATTTGTTTTTTTTATATTTTTCTTTGTAAAAAGCAAATATATTTAATAGATGATATATGAAGAAAAAACAAAATTCATTCGAATAGAATTTTATATGACAAAAGTAAACAAATAAAAAAGAAAATATCAATATTTTGGTTGAATAACAAGTTTAAAACAATCAAATAATATGATGCTTTTTCTATGGCTTATACCTCCTCCTCTGTTAGTGTTTTTTTTTAATTATTTTTTTGTTGTGAGAAATATGATCATATGAGATAGCACAGCCAGATATTGGACATTTTCAGTATTAGTGAAAAATTACTACTTTTAGAATGGAGTCTCTTTCACATATAATGCTCAAAAACGGTTAAGATTTCTAGATTTTAATTATTAAAAGTTGTTGTTTTTTTTATTGACAACAAGCATGATTTTCAGAATCAACATGCAAAAATACATCAGGAATTCGAGTCTGAGTACATATGAGTAGCTACGGAACTGAATCTTCTCATGTCTCACACCTACACCGTTCTTATTATTCATTTTTGGAATAAAGATAATTTCTAACGTTTGCAAAACTGATTCCATTGACTACTTTAGTAAATAATCAAAACTAACAAACATTAATTTACTATAGATGAACATGTTACTGAGTTTTAACTTATAATACATAATGCGAACATTTTTTAATTTTATGACTTGATTTCAAATGAAACCAATTAGAATCGAATTATTAAAAATGAACGAGATGTTATTGTAAATAAAACAATATTTTAAATATATTTTCTTCTATCATGCTTATTCGAGTCTTTCTTCTTCTATGTGCATAAGAACACAAAAAATTGCTGGCAAACAGCTACTACACTAACGTCAAATAAATAAAATGAAATTTAGAATTCGAATTTCTTTGTATTTCTAGTTCATCAAATGAATTTCTTGGTCATCGATCTCAGCAGCAATCGTCAGAAGTCATTATTCTAGAAGATACTCGAATTTTTTTCAATTAGTAAATAATACTAATAAAAATCATATAAAAAAAATGTGGAAATCTTGATCGACCATATAACGAATGAAGAGTACATTTAAGTATTCAATACTAATAATTGATTTTCTCTATTTGTTATCTAGTTATTACTAGAAACAGAATCACCAAGAATATTAAGTACGACAAAACAATAACGAAATATTTTATATTCTATTATGTTTAAGTGCAAGAAATTGAATTTTCTCTTTTATTATTAAATATTAATCTCTCAATTATTCTGAAATCTATTGTTGTTGAAAACAAGAGCACAAATATTTAGAAATAAAATATCGATTTAGCAAAAATTAAATTAAAGAAATGTAATTAGTATACGAAAACTCCATGAACATTCTGGTCATTAGTGCAAATTGATCTCGATAAAATCAAGAAAAACTCTAAAGAATTTGATCTTATAAGTTGAACTTTCAATCAATATGATTGCTCTCTGTTTAGAATATCGACTATGAAAAAATTCCATTCTTGAAATCTTTCTTTTGTGAGATTTCATCGTTTTTTAACATTTACGATTGAAACTTTAAAATATGAAATAGAAGATTTCTTTAAAGAATAGAAAAAAAAAAGGTTTTTATAAGATATTTCTCATAATGCAAAAGAAAAACAAAGAAATACTTTTTTCACTTAGAAACATAATATATATAATTTGTTATTAAGTGATCAATATTGAAATCTTAGGGATCAAGTATAGTTTTAATTATTATTATCATCATTTAATTCATTTTGAAGTATGTACAAATTTTATAGAAAGCAAAATAAAAAATATTCGTATGTTATTCTTAGGATAGAATATTCTATTGAAGAATAATATAAGACTTCATACATTGAAATACAGAAAAGAGAAATGAAAAGTGCATTCGTTCATACTTTGATGTATGTACATCTATGCTTGAAATTATCGTTTTTATAAGAAAGAGCGATAAATGAGAGGAGAAAAAATTTTTTTTGTACTACTTCGATTATAACGATCCCGCCTCTCAATATATAAAAGAGACACCAATAATGTTTTTTTTTCACTTTATTAGCAACAACAGTTTTAGTTTAAACCAGCCATGGTATTGAAAATTGAAACATTTTCTTGAATACCATCGCGGCAGATTCTCAGCTTCAATGAACATCTATGATACGTACATAGCCTCATTCTACATAAGTACGTATAAAACAACGTCGAACTTGATCGAACATATAGTAACATAAACCCAAGTATATACAGGAATGGTATGTTGAAACAGAGACGATATGCATATTTAATACATACGCAGACCAACATTTTATTCCTTTTCTCATGGTCGTTAGATGGACAAAAAATAAAAGTGTGTCTGATCTTGTGCATAAGAAATATATAAAAATAAATGACTATTGATGAGTTCAAACACATAATCAACTCTCATAGAGCCAACTATTTTCAATATTCCATGTTATTTCAGGCGAACTGAATCGTCATAAAAGTAGCAATCGACACTAATATCAAACTTGTACACTGTGACATTCAAAGCAGGTCAACCACAATACTTCATCCATCTGATGTTCCCATTACTTGGCCATTTATACGAAAATTATTGGAACGTCTAATGCGTTACTTCAATTTTGACACCATAAGATTTACTTTCGTCTTCTATTCTGCGTTCACGTTGTTTATTATTAAGAAGGACAAATTCGATGAATGTTTAACACAAGCATCATGTGGTGCCGATTGTGACGATAATATAGGACTCCAACAACGATGAAGAGCTGTCTAATTCTATTTCAAGGGTTAGTATTTCCATATAAATCTGTTATGGCATGTACCTAGATATGCCATAATGGTTTTATCCATATATGTTCATTCGTTCTCTTTCTTTACATATACACTATTATCATATAGATGATTCTTTTCTTTCGTTCAGTCCAATATTTTCCCTTATATGTTTTCTTGGTTGTTTCCTCTGTAGTTTTTCTTCTTTGATGTGATATCTCAGGTTTTTTCCTAGAATATTATGATATCGTTAGAATATCCAACCGTTGATTTTATCTGGTATAAATATCAGATCGTTTTTACAGATAATGAATTGTTTTAGTAAGTTAATAAACATATTAAAAAATCTATCGGATACGAATCTAACAAAATCAGTGTTATATTCACTTGAATATCGTTCTAGGTAAATGAATTTCGAGCACATATGTACAAATTCATACGAGAAGATTATTTAAATGATTGTCATATTATTTTTTTATTAAGAGATGTTCCTT